AATCAGTGCTACTTTACTTATTCTGTTGTCATTCGAGATCCGGCCACTGCACTCCAGCCTGGGCGGCAGAGCCAGACTCCGTCTCAAAAAAAAAAACAAAAAACAAAAAACATACAGAAAGGGAAGTGCTCTTAGGGACATGGTGTTTGGATCCCCTTTCAATAATTTTCAGAGACACAAGTAAAGCTAGAAATAGTTTTTTAATTACTCTCATCACCAGATTGCTTTTTGCTTTTTTTTCCCAGAGACAGGCTCTTAATATGTTGCCCAGGCTGGTCTCCAACTCCTGAGCTGGAGTCCTCGTGCCTTGGCTCCCAAAGGATTGGGATTATAGGCGTGAGCCACCACACCCAGCCACTTGTTTTTATTTGATTTTTTTTCTTTTTTTTCTCAAGCAGTACTAAGGTCAGATAGTCATACATGAGATTTATAATTATTCAAGCTGCAACCTATTGAGCTTAAATTCTGCTTCCTCTGCAGGACGAGTTACGTGACCTCTGGCAAGACATGGTACCTGTCGGAATTCCTGTTGCCGTCCTTTAGGATGGGGTCCTTGGATGGACAGAATGAGGGCAGGTGTGAACATGCTGAGCTCCCATGGTGCCAGTTACCCTTGCCCTTGGCTCTTAGACAATTCATTTTGAAGGGAACTAATACATTGGGCAAACAACTTTAAAACTTTGGAAATGGAAATGAAATAGAAAGATGCCAGGCTGGGCACGGTGGCTCACATCTGTAATTCCAGCACTTTGAGAGGCTGAGGCAGGCAGATCACCTGAGGTCAGGGGTTTGAGACCAGCCTGGCCAACATGGTGAAACCCCATCACTACTAAAAAATACAAAATTTAGCCGGGCGTGGTGATGCATGTCTGTAATCCCAGCTACTTGGGAGGCTGAGGCAGGAGGCAGTGAGTTGAGATTGTGCCACTGCACTCCAGCCTCCAGGGCAACAGAGTGAGACTCCATTTCAAAAAAAACAGAAAAGAAAAGAAATATCTAGATGCCACCACACTGACAAACCACATCTCTGTGCTTTCCTCCTGGGGGGCAGATCTTTTCAAGCAGGGAGGATAGCAGGCTGTGGGTGGGGAGCAGAGGGTTGGCTGGGACCCAACCGGAAAGGCACCCTCTCCTCCAGAACCAGGCAGGTTTGTGGCCTCAGCAAACCCAGGCAGCCTGGGCCTCCCAACCGCTCCTGGGGCTTGGCAGACAAGTGACAGTCCTGATCAAGTGCTCTTGAGAAACCAACGTATGGAACTCATTACCCACCTTCCTGCCAAATCAGGCACACCCAGGCCGGCTCCCTCTGCTACTCCCTCTGCCTGGAAGGTCTTTTCCCACCCCAGCCTCTGCCTGCCCGAGT